TGTGGGTTGCCTACCAGCTCTGGAGAGATATGTGAAGACATCAGGCACAGGTAAGCGCTCGGGATTCATACTGCACAGAAGGGACTGAGGGTGGGGAGCAGGGAACAGCAAAGGTCTGGTCTGGGAGGGCTTCCAAGCAAAGCAGACCTCCAGAGGTCCATCAGCTCTCCCCAGAGACTTGCCCGGCCCTAGGGCTGACAGCCAGCCGAGACTCCCATGCAAAACGGGGCCTGCCGGAGGTGCCGTGAGCCCCACGGGCTGCCCCGAGCTGTCCTGGGACGCTGGAAAAGCGGCGCAAGAATCAGAGCCCTGCAGGGCGATGCTCTGCAAAACGAGCCTGCATCCCTTTCTCTGCGCTCATGCCCTGTCATTTCCAGGGAACGGAACAAACGGCCTCAGCTTCAGAACGCGAACAGAGTGATTTCCACAAGGCGCTTCTCTCCATCTGGCAGCCTGTGGGTCAAATGGTGACCAAAGGTGGCGCTGAAGGCACCTGCGATGACAACAACATCTTCCACTGGGGGGACACCAACCTCCCCCAGATCATCACCTCCATTTTCCATCAGTCATGAAATAAATAACACCATCATTTCCACAGCCTGTGTCATTGTGGTGGCAGTGCGTCCGGGACAGTGGCGGCACTAAAGGCATTGGTGCAGGACAGCGCTGCTGTTTGGGGACTGGGGGCATGTTCCTAGGCAGGAGGAAGGGCGGTGGGCCAGGGATAAAAGAGGCATCGGTGGCTGTGAAGTGTCCAGAGACAGCCATGCCCCAGGGGAGAGAGCACATGTTGAGCGGGAACTTACGCCCCAGTGGGGTCATGCAGCGTCCCCCAGAGTGCACGGGGAGGGCCCGTGAGTCTCCAGCAGGCTAGGAAGCATCCAGAGCACACTGGGAATCCTCAGCTGGGCCAGTTCTGCCAGGATCCCGTGCGCATCACCTTCCCAGAGGAGGCTCGCAGCAAGGGAGCCTTCCCAGAAAGGGAAAACGGTGGCAAAGCACCACAGCACGATCTGCTGGGGAAGGGAGGGAGGCCCTGCGGCACGGCGGCTCAGACTCCCTGGTCCGTTTCGTCCCTCTGCTTATTACTGCTGACTGGTAGCTCAGGCCGGCAGCCGTGAAGTCGCTGAGAGAAGCCTGTGGGCTGTCAAACGGGACTTTGGGGCACTGGCGCGGTGTCACGGCTCCAGCCCTGTGCTGTGACTAATGGGGTGGAGGGACAAGCGAACCCACGAACCAGGAAAGGGGCAAGAGAGGTGGTGAAAACGTAGGGAGATGGGCCTAACAACAAAACAACGGGAACGAGCTAAGGGAGAAAACAATGATTTTCTGAGTGCACTAATTTTCTGAGTATGCCAGCGGGATGCAAGATTAAGAAAACAGATGAGGTTTGCCAAAAGCAAGCGCAGAGTCTTGCACCTTGGAAGGAACAGCCGCAAGTATCAGTACGGGCTGGGACCCGACCTGCTGGAGAGGAGCTCTGCGGTGAGGAACCTGGGGCTCCAGGTGGACAACAGGCTGGCCATGAGCCAGCAGGGTGCCCTGGTGGCCAAGAAGGCCAGTGGGATCCTACAGGGCATTAAAAGGAGCGTGGCCAGCAGGTCAAGGGAGGTGATCCTCTCCCTCCACTCTGCCCTGGTCAGGCCTCACCAGGACTATGGCGTCCGGTTCTGGGCTCCCCGGTACAAGAAAAGGCCGCGATCTCCTGGAAAGAGTCCAGCGGAGGGCCATGAAGATGATCAAGGGCCTGGAGCACCTCTCTTACGAGGAAAGGCTGAGCCACCTGGGTCTGTTCAGCCTTGAGAAAAGAAGACTCGGAGGGGACCTGATCAATGTCTGTACCTACGGGGTGACGGTGGCCAAAATACAAGGCCAAGCTCTTTGCAGCCGTGCGTGCTGATGGGACAATGGCCAAAGTAGGAAGTTCTGCACAAACGTGCAGAAGAACGTCTTCACGGCGAGGGTGAGAGGGCACTGGAACTCCTGCCAAGGGAGGCTGTGGAGTCTACTTGTCTGGAGATGTCCAAGACCTGCCTGGACGCCAACCTGTGCAACCTGGTCTACGGAGCCTGCTTTGGCAAAAAGGTTGGACTCGATCGTCTCGAGAGGTCCCTTCCAGCCCCTACAATTCTGTGATTCTGCATCAGGGAGAACACTGTGCTGCCAAGGAGGAGAAGGCTAATACGGACACTGCTACGGGAGGTGTCAAAGCAAACGTTCAAATCTCTCGGTCTGTACTACCATCTATTCTTTTATTTTCTTTCCGACGTATAAATAAAGGAAATTAATCCAATATTCATTGCTGTTGGAGTGAAGGGCTCAAAAGGATGGGAGGGGAGCACCGGACCTCTGTTTGCGTCTATTTACGAGTGTGGACATTGATAGGACAAGGGGAAATGGTTTCAAACTAAGACAGGAGAGGTTTAGGTTAGATAGTAGGAGGAAGTTTTTCACACAGAGCGTGCTGACACACTGGAACCGGTTGCCCAAGGAGGCTGTGGATGCCCCATGCCTGCAGGCATTCAAGGCCAGGCGGGATGTGGCTCTGGGCTGCCCGGTGGATTGACACTAGGGGATCACTGTGGGCCTTCTCAACCCAGGCCGCTCTATGATTCTGTGATTCTATGACCTGCATGGGTTCACCATGGCTTCACCAAGGGGAGGTCGTGCTCGACCAACCTGGTGGCCTTCTACAATGTAGTCACATGCTGGGTGGATGGGGGAAGAGCGGTAGATGTAGTGTACCTTGATTTCAGCAAGGCATTTGATACTGTCTCCCACGACATCCTTATAACAAAGCTGAGGAAGTGTGGGATAGACGAGTGGACAGTGAGGTGGGTTGAGAATTGGCTGACTGGCAGAGCGCAGAGGGTCGGTCGTCGTTGGCGGTGCAGAGTCTGGCTGGAGACCTGTAACCAGTGGTGTCCCCCAGGGGTCTGTGCTGGGTCTGGTCTTGTTCAACATCTTCATCAATGACTTTGATGAGGGGATAGTGGCCACCCTCAGCAAGTTTGCTGATGATACGAAGTTGGGAGGATTGGCTGACACGCCTGAAGGCTGTGCTGCCATTCAGCAAGACCTGGATAGGCTGGAGAGCTGGGCAGTAAGAAACCGGATGAGGTTCATCAAAAGCAAGTGTAGAGTCTTGCATCTGGGGAGGAATAATTGCATGCGCCACTACAGGCTGGGGGATGAGCTGCTGGAGAGGAGCTCTGCGGAGAGGGACCTGGGTGTCCAGGTGGACGACAGGTTGGCCACGAGCCAGCTGTGTGCCCTTGTGGCCAAGAGGGCCAATGGCATCCTGGGATGCATTAAAAAGAGCGTGGCCAGCAGGTCGAGGGAGGTGATCCTCCCCCTCTACTCTGCCCTGGGAAGGCCTCATCCGGAGTACTGCGTCCAGTTCTGGGCTCCCCAGTACAAAAAAGACAGGGATCTCTTGGAAAGAGTCCAGCGGAGGGTCACAAAGATGGTGAAGGGCCTGGAGCATCTCCCCTATGAAGAAAGGCTAAGTGAACTGGGTCTATTTAGCCTTGAGAAAAGACGGCTAAGAGGGGACCTGACCCAGGTTGATAAATATCTGAGGTGTGGCAGCCATAGTGGTGAGGCCAGTCTCTTTTCAGTGGTACGTGGAGACAGGACAAGGGGAAACAGACATTAGCAGCAGCACAGGAAGTTTCGAACGAATGTGCGCAAGAACTTCTTTACTGTGAGGGTGACGGAGCACTGGAACAGGCTGCCCAGGGGGGGTGTGGAGTCTCCTTCTCTGGAGATGTTCAAGTCTTCCCTGGATGCCTACCTGTGCAAACTGGTGCAGGGAACCTGCTTTGGGAGGGGGGTTGGTCTCAATGATCTCTAGAGATCCCTTCCAACCCCTACAAATCTGCGATTATGTGATTCTGTGGACTCGTGCGCTCATGAAAATTACGGAGTGCAGACGGATTGCAAAAAGGGGAGGTGGAACAGGGAGGTGGGATTTGGGTGTAGGGTCCCCAGCCCCGAGCTGGGTGTGGCCATGTCGCACCGGGGAAAGGCATTGTGACATCACAGGCGGGGCATGACATCAGTCTTCATCAAGTCACGCTAGGCCTCCCCTAGCTCAGACACTTGGAGCACTCGCTCCGTCCTGGTGGTCATTGCTGGAGCTCTGCTCTGGGTGACAGCCACTTGTGTGTTGAGAGCGGTCCTTGGGAGAGAGCAGGATGAAGCTCAGCCTGACTCTCTTCCTCATCTTACTTGCTTTCATGTCTCCAATTCCTGACACGTCCAGCTGCCTCAGCTGGGTCGGGAACTGGGACAAAAAGCTGCTCCATCCCGAGGAGCAGCATCCCTTAGAGACCGAGTGCCAGCCCTCCGGCTGGCTCTCCTGGCTTGGTCTAACCACCTGCCCCACCAAGATCGAGGATGGCAACAAAAGGAACGTCCTTCACCAGGAGCACAGACCTACTGACACCAAGAGCCAGCCCTCCAACTGGCTGTGCTGGTTTTGCCGAATCATCTGCTCCAACCAGATGGAGGACGGGAACAAAAGGCAGGTCCTTCACGAGAAGCAGAGCCCGGTTGAGATCAAGGCCCAGCCCTCCAGCTGGCTCTGCTGGTTCGGCCTACCCACCTGCCCCACAAAGATTGCGGACGGGAAGAAAGGCCAGGTCCTTCCTGAGGTGCAGCGGCCGATTGAGTCCAAGAGCCAGCCCTCCAACTGGCACTGCTGGTTCGGCCTACCCACCTGCCCCACAAAGATTGTGGACGGGAAGAAAGGCCGGGTCCTTCCCAAGGAGCAGAGCCTGTTTGAGTCCAAGAGCCAGCCCTCCAACTGGCTCTGCTGGTTTGGACTAACATCCTGCTCCACCCGCACAGAGGACAGGAAAACAGAACAGGTCCTTCGTGAGGAGCAACGTCTTGTTAAGTCCAAGAGCCAGCTCTCCAACTGGCTCTGCTGGTTTGGACTAACATCCTGCTCCACCAAGACCGAGGACAGCAAGAAAGACCGGGTCCTTCCCGAGGAGCAGAGCCTGTTTGAGTCCAAGAGCCAGCCCTCCAACTGGCTGTGCAGGCTTGGACTGACATCTTGCTCCACCAAGACCGAGGACGGGAAGAAGAACAAGGTCTTTCATGAGGAGCAGAGCCCCGTTGAGACCAAGGGCCAGCCCTCCAACTGGCTCTGCTGGATTGGACTAAACACCTGTCCTCAGAATGGAGAGAAAAAAGTTGTGCGTCCTGAGAAGAGCCTGCCCACTAATGCTGAGCGCCGTGCCTCCCACTGGCCCTTCTGGATTGGCCTTTCTCCACACCCCAGATGGGTCCCGAACAGGGCCAGCGAGTCTGTTGACCCAGAGGGCCCCGAGCAGCAGTCCCCGCACACCGAGCAAGACACCTTCAGCGTGCCTGACATCCTCAACAACTTCAAGGACTTAATAACGCCAGCCCTGATAATCTGCGTCATGCTGGATTTGTGGGGAAACTGCTATCTGTTCCGGCTGCTGTGGGTTGCCTACCAGCTCTGGAGAGATATGTGAAGACATCAGGCACAGGTAAGCGCTCGGGATTCATACTGCACAGAAGGGACTGAGGGTGGGGAGCAGGGAACAGCAAAGGTCTGGTCTGGGAGGGCTTCCAAGCAAAGCAGACCTCCAGAGGTCCATCAGCTCTCCCCAGAGACTTGCCCGGCCCTAGGGCTGACAGCCAGCCGAGACTCCCATGCAAAACGGGGCCTGCCGGAGGTGCCGTGAGCCCCACGGGCTGCCCCGAGCTGTCCTGGGACGCTGGAAAAGCGGCGCAAGAATCAGAGCCCTGCAGGGCGATGCTCTGCAAAACGAGCCTGCATCCCTTTCTCTGCGCTCATGCCCTGTCATTTCCAGGGAACGGAACAAACGGCCTCAGCTTCAGAACGCGAACAGAGTGATTTCCACAAGGCGCTTCTCTCCATCTGGCAGCCTGTGGGTCAAATGGTGACCAAAGGTGGCGCTGAAGGCACCTGCGATGACAACAACATCTTCTACTGGGGGGACACCAACCTCCCCCAGATCATCACCTCCATTTTCCATCAGTCATGAAATAAATAACACCATCATTTCCACAGCCGGTGTCATTGTGGTGGCAGTGCGTCCGGGACAGTGGCGGCACTAAAGGCATTGGTGCAGGACAGCGCTGCTGTTTGGGGACTGGGGGCATGTTCCTAGGCAGGAGGAAGGGCGGTGGGCCAGGGATAAAAGAGGCATCGGTGGCTGTGAAGTGTCCAGAGACAGCCATGCCCCAGGGGAGAGAGCACATGTTGAGCGGGAACTTACGCCCCAGTGGGGTCATGCAGCGTCCCCCAGAGTGCACGGGGAGGGCCCGTGAGTCTCCAGCAGGCTAGGAAGCATCCAGAGCACACTGGGAATCCTCAGCTGGGCCAGTTCTGCCAAGATCCCGTGCGCATCACCTTCACAGAGGAGGCTCGCAGCAAGGGAGCCTTCCCAGAAAGGGAAAACGGTGGCAAAGCACCACAGCACGATCTGCTGGGGAAGGGAGGGAGGCCCTGCGGCACGGCGGCTCAGACTCCCTGGTCCGTTTCGTCCCTCTGCTTATTACTGCTGACTGGTAGCTCAGGCCGGCAGCCGTGAAGTCGCTGAGAGAAGCCTGTGGGCTGTCAAACGGGACTTTGGGGCACTGGCGCGGTGTCACGGCTCCAGCCCTGTGCTGTGACTAATGGGGTGGAGGGACAAGCGAACCCACGAACCAGGAAAGGGGCAAGAGAGGTGGTGAAAACGTAGGGAGATGGGCCTAACAACAAAACAACGGGAACGAGCTAAGGGAGAAAACAATGATTTTCTGAGTGCACTAATTTTCTGAGTATGCCAGCGGGATGCAAGATTAAGAAAACAGATGAGGTTTGCCAAAAGCAAGCGCAGAGTCTTGCACCTTGGAAGGAACAGCCGCAAGTATCAGTACGGGCTGGGACCCGACCTGCTGGAGAGGAGCTCTGCGGTGAGGAACCTGGGGCTCCAGGTGGACAACAGGCTGGCCATGAGCCAGCAGGGTGCCCTGGTGGCCAAGAAGGCCAGTGGGATCCTACAGGGCATTAAAAGGAGCGTGGCCAGCAGGTCAAGGGAGGTGATCCTCTCCCTCCACTCTGCCCTGGTCAGGCCTCACCAGGACTATGGCGTGCGGTTCTGGGCTCCCCGGTACAAGAAAAGGCCGCGATCTCCTGGAAAGAGTCCAGCGGAGGGCCATGAAGATGATCAAGGGCCTGGAGCACCTCTCTTACGAGGAAAGGCTGAGCCACCTGGGTCTGTTCAGCCTTGAGAAAAGAAGGCTCGGAGGGGACCTGATCAATGTCTGTACCTACGGGGTGACGGTGGCCAAAATACAAGGCCAAGCTCTTTGCAGCCGTGCGTGCTGATGGGACAATGGCCAAAGTAGGAAGTTCTGCACAAACGTGCAGAAGAACGTCTTCACGGCGAGGGTGAGAGGGCACTGGAACTCCTGCCAAGGGAGGCTGTGGAGTCTACTTGTCTGGAGATGTCCAAGACCTGCCTGGACGCCAACCTGTGCAACCTGGTCTACGGAGCCTGCTTTGGCAAAAAGGTTGGACTCGATCGTCTCGAGAGGTCCCTTCCAGCCCCTACAATTCTGTGATTCTGCATCAGGGAGAACACTGTGCTGCCAAGGAGGAGAAGGCTAATACGGACACTGCTACGGGAGGTGTCAAAGCAAACGTTCAAATCTCTCGGTCTTGGAACAGGATGAAAAACAGCACCAATCTTTTTATGTTAAAACTATTTTTTTCATGTACTCTGTTGCTAGCTGAAGGTTCTGAGAAGCATTGAGTCAGAGACTGGAAGCTTCATAAAGCAAATGAAAGCTATATAAAGGTGAAGCAGGTGTGTGACATACTCCAAGGAAAACTTTTCTAGTTGCAAATGAAAAAGAAATTGAAGAACCTTCCATTTCTCCTGCTGTTATCGCAGCACTTTCTCATGCTTTTCCTGCACATAAAAGGCAAAATTAGGAAGAAGGCACGCAGCTTATCCAGGTGAGGATGGCAGACCTCAGGGGCTGAGGTCTCTAACAACTGTCTAGCATCCCCTGTAGTATCTGAAATAATACTAGTATATAGCAACTGGGGAGCTACTATACTTGCTACTATATTTGCTTCATTTGCTACAGAGACTAGCTTCGAGCAGGTAAAACTGTGGTGGGCAAGGGATCTGGAGTGAAGAAAAGTGACCAAAAGCTCTTTTTTTAGACTTTTTTGGAGCCATCGACAGTGCTGTGCCTGGGCTAGCAGCTGGCAGCTTGTGGGCGGGCTCCTGACTCACCAGGGGCGGAGCTGACACCTCGTGGCAGTATTCAAGGTACTTACCACGAGTCATCAGCCATTTGCTTCATTTGCCACAGAGACTAGCTTCGAGCAGGTAAAACTGTGGTGGGCAAGGGATCTGGAGTGAAGAAAAGTGACCAAAAGCTCTTTTTTTAGACTTTTTTGGAGCCATCGACAGTGCTGTGCCTGGGCTAGCAGCTGGCAGCTTGTGGGCGGGCTCCTGACTCACCAGGGGCGGAGCTGACACCTCGTGGCAGTATTCAAGGTACTTACCACGAGTCATCAGCCATTTGCTTCATTTGCTACAGAGACTAGCTTCGAGCAGGTAAAACTGTGGTGGGCAAGGGATCTGGAGTGAAGAAAAGTGACCAAAAGCTCTTTTTTTAGACTTTTTTGGAGCCATCGACAGTGCTGTGCCTGGGCTAGCAGCTGGCAGCTTGTGGGCGGGCTCCTGACTCACCAGGGGCGGAGCTGACACCTCGTGGCAGTATTCAAGGTACTTACCACGAGTCATCAGCCATTTGCTTCATTTGCTACAGAGACTAGCTTCGAGCAGGTAAAACTGTGGTGGGCAAGGGATCTGGAGTGAAGAAAAGTGACCAAAAGCTCTTTTTTTAGACTTTTTTGGAGCCATCGACAGTGCTGTGCCTGGGCTAGCAGCTGGCAGCTTGTGGGCGGGCTCCTGACTCACCAGGGGCGGAGCTGACACCTCGTGGCAGTATTCAAGGTACTTACCACGAGTCATCAGCCATTTGCTTCATTTGCTACAGAGACTAGCTTCGAGCAGGTAAAACTGTGGTGGGCAAGGGATCTGGAGTGAAGAAAAGTGACCAAAAGCTCTTTTTTTAGACTTTTTTGGAGCCATCGACAGTGCTGTGCCTGGGCTAGCAGCTGGCAGCTTGTGGGCGGGCTCCTGACTCACCAGGGGCGGAGCTGACACCTCGTGGCAGTATTCAAGGTACTTACCACGAGTCATCAGCCATTTGCTTCATTTGCCACAGAGACTAGCTTCGAGCAGGTAAAACTGTGGTGGGCAAGGGATCTGGAGTGAAGAAAAGTGACCAAAAGCTCTTTTTTTAGACTTTTTTGGAGCCATCGACAGTGCTGTGCCTGGGCTAGCAGCTGGCAGCTTGTGGGCGGGCTCCTGACTCACCAGGGGCGGAGCTGACACCTCGTGGCAGTATTCAAGGTACTTACCACGAGTCATCAGCCATTTGCTTCATTTGCCACAGAGACTAGCTTCGAGCAGGTAAAACTGTGGTGGGCAAGGGATCTGGAGTGAAGAAAAGTGACCAAAAGCTCTTTTTTTAGACTTTTTTGGAGCCATCGACAGTGCTGTGCCTGGGCTAGCAGCTGGCAGCTTGTGGGCGGGCTCCTGACTCACCAGGGGCGGAGCTGACACCTCGTGGCAGTATTCAAGGTACTTACCACGAGTCATCAGCCATTTGCTTCATTTGCTACAGAGACTAGCTTCGAGCAGGTAAAACTGTGGTGGGCAAGGGATCTGGAGTGAAGAAAAGTGACCAAAAGCTCTTTTTTTAGACTTTTTTGGAGCCATCGACAGTGCTGTGCCTGGGCTAGCAGCTGGCAGCTTGTGGGCGGGCTCCTGACTCACCAGGGGCGGAGCTGACACCTCGTGGCAGTATTCAAGGTACTTACCACGAGTCATCAGCCATTTGCTTCATTTGCTACAGAGACTAGCTTCGAGCAGGTAAAACTGTGGTGGGCAAGGGATCTGGAGTGAAGAAAAGTGACCAAAAGCTCTTTTTTTAGACTTTTTTGGAGCCATCGACAGTGCTGTGCCTGGGCTAGCAGCTGGCAGCTTGTGGGCGGGCTCCTGACTCACCAGGGGCGGAGCTGACACCTCGTGGCAGTATTCAAGGTACTTACCACGAGTCATCAGCCATTTGCTTCATTTGCTACAGAGACTAGCTTCGAGCAGGTAAAACTGTGGTGGGCAAGGGATCTGGAGTGAAGAAAAGTGACCAAAAGCTCTTTTTTTAGACTTTTTTGGAGCCATCGACAGTGCTGTGCCTGGGCTAGCAGCTGGCAGCTTGTGGGCGGGCTCCTGACTCACCAGGGGCGGAGCTGACACCTCGTGGCAGTATTCAAGGTACTTACCACGAGTCATCAGCCATTTGCTTCATTTGCCACAGAGACTAGCTTCGAGCAGGTAAAACTGTGGTGGGCAAGGGATCTGGAGTGAAGAAAAGTGACCAAAAGCTCTTTTTTTAGACTTTTTTGGAGCCATCGACAGTGCTGTGCCTGGGCTAGCAGCTGGCAGCTTGTGGGCGGGCTCCTGACTCACCAGGGGCGGAGCTGACACCTCGTGGCAGTATTCAAGGTACTTACCACGAGTCATCAGCCATTTGCTTCATTTGCCACAGAGACTAGCTTCGAGCAGGTAAAACTGTGGTGGGCAAGGGATCTGGAGTGAAGAAAAGTGACCAAAAGCTCTTTTTTTAGACTTTTTTGGAGCCATCGACAGTGCTGTGCCTGGGCTAGCAGCTGGCAGCTTGTGGGCGGGCTCCTGACTCACCAGGGGCGGAGCTGACACTACCTGCTCTTTATCTTTGAAGCTTGACCTTGAGCCATTTGTTGTGTGGATAAAAAGAGACCTGGGAGGGCGGGAACCGGTTCCCGCCCACATAACACATAGCACAAGCCAGAAGGTGTGGAAAGCTGCTCTGACCACTTAGGGTGGAGGTAGTCAGTGTGTGAGGGCCACTAGCACTGCACTGCCCATTCATTAAGGCAGCAGTGGGGAGCAGAGGCTGTGTCTTGTGTCAGCACAGGTGAGTGCTCTTGTCTTTTTCTCAGGTGACTGGCTCTCCTGTTTTCTCAGGTGACTGGCTCTCCTGTTAACAGGCCCTGACACCACCTCTCCAGACATGGTCCTCACCAGGAAACGTACTTCCCATGCAAAGACTGTGGCAACCCAGACAGAGGGTCTGCTTAATAATGTGGCGGTTCAGGTCTCTGGCTGCCAGGAGTGCCTCAGCCTGCTGCTGCCAGGGGAGGATGGGAAGGATGCCACTTGTGTGCGGTGTGAGCAGCTGGACGAGCTGCTCAACCTGGTGGTGGAGCTTGGGGAGGAGGTAGGTAGACTGCGGACCATCAGAGAGTGTGAACGAGAGATTGACTGGTGGAGTGACTCTCTGCGAGAAAGGCGCAGAGATTGCACTACCCAGACTGAGGGGACAACGGACCCTATCTCTCATTGTAGTCAAACAGGGAGAGACAGCTTGAGAGAAGATGAGGAATGGCAGCTGGTCTCATCCCGGCGTCGCAGGCAACCCCCAAGTTCTCGACCTACCTCGGTTCCCCTGATCCCTCTCTGTAATAGGTATGAAACTCTGAAACCAGAGGGAGTGGTGACTGATGATAATGTGGGAGCACTGCCACCAAGCTTGCCTAAGGTGAGGCGGTCAGCCCCACGTTTAAAGACTGCCTCCTCCAAGAAAGAAAGGAGAGTGGTAGTCGTAGGTGACTCTCTTCTGAGAGGAACAGAGGGTCCGATATGTCGGCCTGACCCTACCCGTAGGGTGGTGTGCTGCCTTCCTGCGGCCCGGGTCAGGGATATTTCTAGAAAACTCCCTAGCCTTATCCGCCCCTCTGATTATTACCCTCTATTGATAGTTCAGGCCGGCAGTGATGAGATCCCTGTTAGAAGCCTGAGGATTATAAAAAATGATTTTAGGAGACTGGGGAAGTTAGTTGATGGAGCGGGCATACAAGTAGTGTTTGCCAGTATTCCCTTGGTGGCAGGGACGAGCGCTGAGACGACCAGGAAAAGCCATCTTGTAAATGCATGGCTGAGAGGCTGGTGCAAGCGCAAAAATTTTGGGTTCTTTGATCATGGGGTGGTCTACTCGGCATCTGGCCTGAGGTCTGCTGATGGGAATTGTCTGTCTCCAAAAGGGAGACGGATACTTGCCCAGGAGCTGGCGGGACTTGTAGAGAGGGCTTTAAACTAGATAGGAAGGGGGAGGGAGATAAAGCTAGGCATGCTAGAGAGCAGCCTGGGGAAGTGGTATTGGGATTAGGTGAGAAGCAAGGGGCTCAGCTGAGGTGCGTCTACACTAATGCACGCAGCATGGGCAACAAACAAGAAGAGTTGGAAGCCATTGTGCAGCAGGCAAACTATGACCTAGTTGCCATAATGGAAACGTGGTGGGATTGCTCCCACGATTGGAGTGCTGCAATGGATGGCTACAAACTCTTCAGGAAAGATAGGCAAGGAAGGCGGGGTGGCGGTGTGGCTCTCTATGTTAGGGAATGCTTTTATGCTACTGAGGTTATGACCGGGGACGATAACGTTGAATCCCTATGGGTAAAGATCAGAGGAAGGGCTGACAAGACAGGCACCCTGGTGGGCGTCTGTTATAGACCTCCAAATCAGGATGAAGAGACAGATGAGGTATTCTATAAGCAGCTGGCACAAGCTGCACAGTCGCCTGCCCTTGTCCTCATGGGGGACTTTAACTTCCCTGACATATGCTGGGAGTACAGCACAGCACAGAGGAAGCAGTCTAGGAGGTTTCTGGAATGCATAGAGGACAACTTCCTGATACAGCTGGTCAGAGAGCCCACGAGAGGAACTGCCCCACTAGACCTGCTGTTCACAAACAGGGAAGGTTTGGTGGGAGATGTGGAGGTTGGAGGCTGTCTTGGGCAGAGTGACCATGAAATGATAGACTTCGTGATTCATGGTGGAGCCTGGAGGGGGAATAGTAAAATTGCTACCTTGGACTTCAGGAGGGCGGACTTTGAATTGTTCAGGGGACTAATAAGGGGAGTCCCCTGGCATTCAGTCTTAGCGAGTAAGGGGGTCCAAGAGAGCTGGTTGCTCTTCAAGAAGGAAGTCTTAAGGGCGCAGGAGCAGGCAGTCCCCCTGAGCTGCAAAATGAGCCGGCGGGGAAGAAGACCGGCGTGGATGAATAGGGAACTGTTCCTGAGGCTCCGGGAGAAAAAGAGAACCTACCGCCTGTGGAAAGAGGGACAGGCCACTCAAAATGAATACAAGGAAGTTGTTAGGATATGTAGAGGTGAAATCAGAAAGGCAAAAGCCCAGCTTGAATTTAACCTAGCTGCTGGGGTGAAAAGAAATAAGAAACTCTTTTATAAATACATTAACAGTAAGAGGAGGACAAAGGAGAATATCCACTCTTTGCTGGATGAGGCTGGGAATGTGACCACTGAGGATAAGGAAAAGGCGGAGGTTCTGAATGCCTTCTTTACGTCTGTCTTTAAAAGTCAGACCAGTTATCCTCAGGATACTCCTCTCTCTGACCTGGTAATCTCGGCTAGGGAGCACACTAACCCCCCTGTGATTCTGGAGGAAACAGTCAGAGACCTACTGCTCCAACTGGGCTGCCACAAGTCGATGGGGCCAGATGGGATCCACCCAAGAGTGCTGAGGGAACTGGCGGAGGTGAGAGCCGAGCCGCTTTCCATCATCTGTCAACGCTCCTTGTTGACTGGTGAGGTCCCAGAAGACTGGAGGCTTGCCGATGTGACTCCCATTTATAAGAAAGGTCGTAAGGAGGATCCGGGGAACTACAGGCCTGTTAGCCTGACCTCGGTGCCAGGGAAGGTTATGGAGCAGATTGTCTTGAAGGAGATCATGCGGCATGTGCAGGGTGACCTGGGGATCAGGCCTAGCCAGCATGGGTTCATGAAGGGCAGGTCCTGTTTGACCAACCTGATCTCCTTCTATGATCTAGTGACCCATCTGGTGGATGAGGGAAAGGCTGTTGATGTGGTCTACCTAGACTTCAGCAAAGCCTTTGACACAGTCTCCCACAGCATTCTCCTGCAGAAGCTGGCAGCCAGAGGCTTGGATGGATACACTCTTGGCTGGGTAAGGAACTGGCTGGAGGGCCGGGCACAGAGAGTGGTGGTAAATGGAGTCAAATCCAGCTGGCGACCGGTTGTGAGTGGTGTTCCCCAGGGGTCGGTGCTGGGGCCTGTCCTCTTCAATATCTTTATTGATGACCTCGATGAGGGCATCGAGTGCACCCTCAGTAAATTCGCAGATGACACCAAATTGGCTGGAAGTGTGGATCTGCCTGGGGGTAGCGAGGCCCTACAGAGGGATCTGGACAGGCTGGAGAGCTGGGCTGAAGCCAATAGGATGAGTTTCAACAAGGCCAAATGCCAGGTCCTGCACTTCGGCCACAACAACCCCAGGCGACGCTACAGGCTTGGGGCGGTGTGGCTGGAGGACTGCGTAGAGGAAATGGACCTGGGGGTATTGACTGATGCTCGGCTGAACATGAGCCGACAGTGTGCCCAGGTGGCCAAGAAGGCCAATGGCATCCTGGCTTGCATCAGAAACAGTGTTGCAAGCAGGAGCAGAGAGGTGATTGTTCCCCTGTATTCAGCACTGGTGAGGCCGCACCTCGAGTACTGTGTCCAGTTTTGGGCCCCTCACTGCAAGAAAGATATTGAGGCCCTGGAACGTGTTCAAAGGAGGGCAACAAAGCTGGTGAGGGGTCTGGAACACAGGCCATATGAGGAGAGGCTGAAGGAGCTGGGAATGTTCAGCCTGGAGAAGAGGAGGCTCAGGGGAGACCTCATTGCTCTCTATAACTTCCTGAAGGGAGGCTGTAGTGAGCTGGGGGTCGGCCTCTTCTCTCGTGTCATTAGTGATAGGACCAGGGGGAATGGCTTCAAGCTACGGCAGGGGAGATTCAGGCTGGACATGAGGAAGTATTACTTTTCGGAAAGGGTGGTCAGGCACTGGAACGGACTGCCCAGGGAGGTGGTGGAGTCACCGACCCTGGGGGTGTTCAAGGAAAGACTGGATGTTGTATTGAGGGACATGGTTTAGTAGGAGCAATTGAGAATAGGTGAACGGTTGGACTGGATGATCTTTTAGGTCTTTTCCAACCTTGGTGATTCTATGATTCTATGATTCTATGATTCTATGATTCTAATGCAAAATGTACTGCAAATTCCGTTAGAATGAATAACAAGATTATTTCTCAGTGTGGACCTGCATTACGTACAGTGACAGCAAAAGCTTCTTTAATCTTGACTCATCCCTGTTTTATTTTTTGCAGAGAGCAATTAAAACTGATGATGCGTTAATTATATCAGTGATGAATTGATTCTACAAATAATGAAACATCTGAGTCAGTATACATTTGATTTATAGGTGGAAATGTAGTAATTTATGTGACTTCTGGTATTATGAGATGCAGCTCTTCATAAGATGTGGATTTTATTTTTTTCCAAATTATTACTCTAAAAAATATGTGTGTATAGGATACTGCTACCTAAATTTTGTAGTTACTCGTATGTTTCTGTTTTTTCACTGCTGGCTTTAAAAGACTCTAGATAACCCCGGAGCACAGAGCAGGTAGAAGGCACACTAGCAGAAAACATTCAACTTATTAGACAAATAATGAATCAGAATGTCTTCTGAGTAAAATGCAAAGCCATAATGTAGTCATAATATAATCTAAAAAGAACTCACTAAGAGAAAAACATCCAGATAGTCTATAACAAGCTCTGTTATCCCTGTTCTCAAGAAACATAAAATATCAAATAAAGTATCAAACAGGTCTGAAGAAGTATTAGTATAATCTTTAAGAGCTTCAAAGATAAACGTATTTGACTGTCCTAAAATATCTTGTTTCCATTAGAAGTACTTGGAAAATTACTACAGCTTTAAGGAAGATGGAGAATCTTTCATTTGGAAAAGTAACAGTGCAGTGGCAAAAAAAATAAAAGAAATGCAGGAATTCTTTGGGCTGGAGGTGACAGGGAGACCAGATTCCAGCACTTTGGACCTAGTGTGGAAAAGTCGCTGTGGATTCCCTGATGTAGCTGGGTTCTCCACCTTTGCAGGAGAGCCAAAATGGGCAAAACAAGTTCTGACATACAGGTAATTATAATGGAATCCTTAATGTACAGACAGTGCGTTATGTAGCTAAGTTAAATGCAGTTATTTTTCTATTTTGTATTTTAAAGGATATTAAACTACACACCAGACTTACGCCCAGCAGATGTCAATGCAGCAATCAAGAAAGCATTCAGCATTTGGAGCAGTGTGACCCCACTGAAATTCATCAAGAAGGGCAGAGGTGATGCAGACATAATGATCTCCTTTGCAACTGGAGGTAAAAGTCTACGTAAGCATAATGAGTTATTTCCAACTTCTGCCAGTGTGAAGCAGTTTGTCTGAAATAGTCGTGATTTATTCTCATGTAATGCACAGAAAAACACAGACCTTGCCCAAGTTGTTATAGTGATGATTCTTGAAGATGTCTGGGGGAGATTAAGAGAGAAATGAAAAGAAGCAGGGAGAAAGTAAATGTAGTGAGCTACTGTAGTTCACTGAATCTATACTTAGCGCTTGATGCCAATGCACGCTCTACGACAGGAGGCTCAGGACTTGTGGAGTATGATCACGCTCAGAGCACCGTGGCGTGGGCAGCTCTAGTACACTCCTAGGATTAGTCATGGGCTTTATGTGAGCTAAATAAGTTCTAGACATACTCAAGGCTTGTATTTTTGGCATTGCCCTCAGGGAAGATTTACCTTCTCTCCTTTCATGAACAGCTGTGCATGCATGCACTTTCCTAGTCAGCTCCTCTTTTTCCAACCAAATATACCTATCCACACATCTAGGCACTGCACATAACCGTTAAATCTATGCTCACATACACTGTTCTGGAGTTGACCTTCAAAGGCTCTCCAGAGGAGGGATTACAGTCTCCCCACAACCTTCCTTCTGCCATCAGCACTTCAGTTACTACTTCAGGTCAGGGTCAGTTGGAAACCATCTGAGGGCTGCTGACACAGAGCTTGAGAAAATTTTAACTTATGAGCAAGTAAGAGAATGTATTTCAAGCAAAACCGTGTCCCCCTCCTCTTCCCTCATGGAGTAAATACATAAATGTCCACCCATGTCTTAAGGAGGCCAAGATTTCATTCCTGATTTATCCCTTTTCCCTTCTCAAAATTGGCCTTTTGAAAAACCGTTGTAGAAATGAATCTTG